CCATCCCCATGAGGAACGGTCATGCCTCAATCCCTCCTCCTTTATGTATCCCTCCTTTCGGGATTTTGGGCATGCACACACACACACACACCTGGCATGTTCTTTAAGCTGCCTGATCTGGGGTTTGAACTAAGCAATTGCCCATGTGGGATTCAGCTCTCCCAACCAGGGCATGGGCTGGTCCCTAAGTGAATGCTCTTAATCATCACACTAGACTTCTAAAGTTTTCTTTTCCCTACATGTACTTCTTCCCTCGTCCCCTTTACCCTCCCTCCTTTTCAGGTCTTGTCAAAGCCAGCAGGGAAGCGGAAGCTACAGTACATTCAGCTTCCCCTGGGCTGAGGCATCTCACACGTGGAGTCCAGTCCCAGGAGGATCTGAGCAAGTGGGAGTGTGGCATGTGGGACAATGTGGAAAGGGAAACGAAAACAGGGCCAGGGAGGGTGTATAGACACTTTTGTTACCACACAAGCACCCACTCCCCAAAAGTCACAGTAGATGCAGAGGTATTCAGCCTGATTAGGACAGAGACAATGACCACATGTAGACGCAGGATAATGTGTTTGGTCACCTAATGGAGTGTCTGAAGAAAGGGGCCCTTTCCCTGGTCTGAGTAAGTTTTGGTCTGGAAAGGAAGAACTGTGAAACAGGGAGGCAGAATTTAGAGAGTTTATGACAACACACATACATACCTATATACACAAATTAATGAAAACTCAGAGTAAAATAGAATAATAGAGAAAATACAGGCTAATTTGGACCAACATAGGATGCAACTCTGGGACATTGAGATGCTGCAAGGCCAAGCTGCACAAGGAATTCTTAGCAGAATGCAGCAAATCTGTAGTGAGTCTGGCCTCAAGTGTGCTGCTCAAATCCATCCACCCAGCAGGCCCCAGAGGAAAAGATTCTGCTTTTCCAACAGAAAGGGAGAAATACGATGCATTTGAAATACAATGGTCTTTGTCCCTGGTTCCTGGCACAGAATTCCTAAAACCTTTGGAATTTCCTGAATGATAGGAGTGTCCCGCTTATCCCTGAAGTCTTCTCTCGCCAGAGAGATTCCACAACCTGCTTCCCCGTTTCATATCCTATCTGTCTCTTCCATTTGGCTGTTCTTGAGTTGAATCCTTTGTAATAAGACAGTAATAGTATGTAAAGTGCTTTCCTGAGTTCTGTGAGTCACAGAAAATTGTCAAACTTAAGAGGGGTATTCTGGAAACTCCCAGATTTGTAGCTGCTGGGCAGAAATGTGGGTAGCTTGGGTATCCCACTTGTAATTGACATCCAAAGTGTGGGCACTCTTGTTGGGCTGAACCTTTAACCTGGCATATCTGTGCTAACTACAGATAGTGTCATGACTGAACTGAATTGGATCAAACCATTGGACACCCAGTTGGTGTCCAAGAATTAGAGAATTGATTGGTGTCAGTAACCCCCCCAAAAAAAAAAATTTTTGAGAGGTTTCTTGCCACTCACCAGAGAGAGACAAAGAGAATGGGAGGGAAAGTGAGAAATCAACCCCCAGAAGGATGACCATGCTGCAATCTCTTCTCTTCCATTCTCCTCCTAGGATCGGGCCAAGCTGCACAAGGAATTCTTAGCAGAATGCAGCAAATCTGTAGTGAGTCTGGCCTCAAGTGTGCTGCTCAAATCCATCCACCCAGCAGGCCCCAGAGGAAAAGATTCTGCTTTTCCAACAGAAAGGGAGAAATACGATGCATTTGAAATACAATGGTCTTTGTCCCTGGTTCCTGGCACAGAATTCCTAAAACCTTTGGAATTTCCTGAATGATAGGAGTGTCCCGCTTATCCCTGAAGTCTTCTCTCGCCAGA